CTCCACACACCCCCCCTACGGACTCTTCCCCCTGCACCCCCTCCCCCTTCCTCCTCCCATCACCACCCCAACGCACCCAATCGACATAATAGCCCTTCACGGCATAAACGGCCACTGCCAAAAACATGGACCCACTTCTCCTCCCCGGCGGACTTCAAAGCCAACAAAGGGGGCGTCTTCTGGCTACGGGATTTTTTGCCGGACGCGTTCCCTGGCGCGAGGATCTGGACATTTGGGTATGATGCGAGGCTGGTGATGAGTCGGAGGACGGGGGATATTGAGAGTTTCGCTAGCGCGTTGTTAGAGGGGATTTTGGATGTTAGGGGGGGACGGGAGGTTTAGTGTTTTTTTAACTTTTTGCTTGGGGGTTGGGTTTTGGTGGCTTTGTTTTTTTCCTTTCGGTTTTCTTCTTAGCGAGAGGGATGAGTGAGGGCGGAGGAAGGGGGGGGGGAGAGCGAGAGAGTGAAGCTAATAGGAATTGAAATAGGAACAAAGAAGACCAATAATATTCATCTGCCATAGCATGGGCGGCCTAGTAGTAAAACGCGTACCCTTCCCCCTCCTTCCCTTCCCATATCCCCCTTATCCCCTCTTCCCTCCCTTTATCTCCCCCTCACTAACACACCCAGGCCTTAACAAAAGCCCACCACACCCCCCGCTACACCCCCATCCTCGCCCATACAACAGCAATCCTCTTCCTCGCCACCCCGCACCGGGGCTCCCTAGACGCCGCCTTCCTCGCCAACATCGCGACTATCTCGAATCTATCTCTTTCCAGCACGGGTGTGTCCCGTTTCAAGGGCAGGATTAGAGATGATTTGATTAAGGGACTGCGGAGGGATGATGAGGTTGTGATGGGGATTGCGAGGGGGTTTGTGCCGTTAACGGGGAGGATGAGGTTTTATAGTTTTGTGGAGGAGGTTGGGACGGTGGGGTTGGGAAGGAGGGTAGGTGATTTTCTTTTTCTTTTTTTCTACTCAACTCAACTGAGTAGTACTCAAGTTAAGTGGAATGAGTATGATTAGACGATTCCGTTGAGTAGTAAATTCGACTACTCGAGTTACTCATGACTTAATTGAGGACTTAGCGAGTTGAGTTGATTAGTCATTTTCACTAATCCAGTTGGGTTGGTGGGTGCTACTACTCAACTCAACTACTCGAATTTTCTACGCTGGTTTTGGGTTCATAACCCCCCCCAAAAAAAACAACCAACAACCACCAACCAACCACCTAACCACACAAATCCCCAGCTAGTCGACGACATATCCAGCCAAATGAACGTCCCCAACGAAGTAGTAATCCACATGGCCGGCGAAGACCATCGGAGTATCGCACGATTCTCATCAGTAACAAGTCCAAGTTACAAAAAAGTCCTTGCAAAGTTGAAGGAAGCTGTTTATGCAGCGACGAGTCGTATGTCTATCCCTTTTCTTTTACCCTCAACAAGTCGTGAAGTGAAAGGGGTGTTGAGGAGTTGAGGAGTTGAGGAGTGCTGATGATTTGGATAGCTGTGATAAAAATTATAGAGGAGGAGGATGGTCGTAAGTTCACCCACCCTCCCCTTTTATATTACAAATTTGAGAGCGAGATATCATTCCAAAACCAATCTAACACACACACACCCAGCCTGCCTCCAAACCCTCACCTTCCCCCAACTCCACCACACCCCCCACATACCCCCAAACCTGCCTCTGGATCCTCCAGCACCCCACCTACCTAACCTGGCTCAACACCCACAGCCCCACCCTCTTCTCCCTAAAAGGCCACCCCGGAACCGGAAAATCCACTCTAATATCCTCCCTCCACCGGCAGCTAGCACAAACCACCCCCTCAACAATCCATCTATCATTCTTCTTTACCTCCCGAGGTGTGTTCTTGCAAAGGGGTGTGTTGGGTATGTATCGCGCGTTGCTGTGGCAGGTTTACAGACAGTCTAGCAGGGCGAGGGAGATGGTGTTGGAAGTGTATGAGGAGAAAGTAAGGAGTTTTGGGGGGGAGTGGGAGTGGGGTGTTTATGAGCTGAGGAGTTTGGTGGGGAGGGTGGTGAGGAGGGTAGCGAGGGAGAGGGAGGTGATTATTTTGGTGGATGCGGTTGATGAGGCGGTTTGCGAGAATGGGGAGAAAGCAGCGGTGGGGATTGTAGAGCGGTTTTTGGCGATGAATGATGCAAATTGCGGATCTGGAGATGGGGAGGGTGGTAGTGGTGTGAATGGGATTCGAATCTGTATCTCCAGCCGTCACTACCCCATCATCGGATCCCCAGGACCCGGGCTAGAAATCCGCGTCGAAGACGAGAACGCAGGTGATCTCCACCACTACATCCACGATTCTCTACGGATGGGAATCCAAGGATGGGCCGACGAACCACACCACATCACACAAACCCTCATCTCAGCAATCTCCTCAAAGGCAGCGGGCGTCTTCCAATGGGCCGTCCTACGCGTGCCCAAGATCATAAAAATTATCAACGACGGCGAAGTAACGTTCGAGAAATCCCAGCAGATGATAGAACAAGAATCCAATGAGCTGTTTCCCCTCTATCAAAGGATTATTACTAATGATGTCTCTCTGCCGTTGAGAAGTAAATCCTTGCTTTTTCTGCAGTGGGTAGCGTTTGCGGAACGTCCGCTTTCGTTGTCGGAATTGCGCTTTGCGATGGCTTGTGATGAGCAGGATCGTCCGTTCTCGCAGGATTGCTGTGAGAAGAAGCGGGGGGGTTCATTGATTCTGATGCTCGCATGGCGAAGCTGACGAAGAGTCTTTCGGGGGGTTGGCGGAGGTGGTGGTTTGTGATTCGGTTTGCCGGGTTCGGTTTATTCATCAAACGGTTAATGAGTATCTCCGTTCGCAAGGCCTTGAGATTTTATCATCCATCTCTATGGGAATTGGTATGGGGGATGTTATCGGAAGGAGCCAGCAGAGGTTGTCGACATCTTGTTTGAATTATCTTAGGATTGAATATGTGGTGGATGTTATCAACGCGTGGATAAAGTGGAATGAGAAAATCTCAGTCTTCATAGAATACACAGCCAAATACCCCTTCCAGCACGCCTCACACGCCGAACAACACGGCACACCCCAAAAGACCTCGCAACATTCTTCAACACACACCCCAATCTATTCACGCTCTGGCAAAAAATATGCTGGAAACTCGACACCTCACGACCATACTGCGCAACCGAACACCTCATCCACATCGCGGCCGTATTCAGCATCTCAAGCATAGTACAGTATTTTATCGAAAGAGGTGTAACAGTCGAGGTTCGAGACCGAGATGGTCACACGCCGCTTGCGCTCGTAGCGAAAAGGGGGGACGAGCGAATGACCAGGATGTTCCTGGACCTGGGGGCAGATGTCAACACGGTGAATGATGATAACTGCACACCCCTCGAGTTAGCAGCTGCGAATAGCCATGAAACAGTGGTTAAACAATTGCTGGAAAAGGGAGCTGAGATTCAAGGGAAAGGTGGGATGAGGACTTTTCGATCTGCGCTGCAAGGAGCGGTGTTTGCGGGGCGGTTGTCGCTGGTGCGTGTTTTGATCGCTAGCGGTGCGGAATGTCAATACTCGGCATGAATTTTATGGAACTCCTCTACAAGAAGCGGCGGCTCTGGAAACAGATGATATAGCTATGCTTCTGATTGAATCTGGGGCTGAAATCAATACTCCATGTGGGCGCCATGGAAGTGCCCTTCAAGCTGCCGCTTACAGAGGGCACAGATCATTAATCCGAGTTCTTCTGGGAAGGGGAGCAGATGTGAATGCACAAGGAGGCGAATATGGGAATGCTCTTCAGGCTGCTGCAATATATAGAAATGGACATATTGACATCATCAAACTTCTGCTCGCTAGTGGTGCCGATGTCAACGCTGTTGGTGGAGCCTACGGAACGGTACTTCAAGTCGTTCTGTTTCCCGGAAATGAGGCTTTGATTCAACTCTTGTTGGATCATGGTGCAGATGTCAATATCCAAGCAGGAGAATTTGGCAATGCCATTATGTCTGCCGCAATGTCAGGGGATGAGGGCATTGTTCGTATGCTAATGGAGAAAGACGCCGACATACATGCAGTAGCTGGAGAATACGGCAATACTCTACAAGCCGCAGTATTGATTGGAAACAGCGCGCTTGTGGAGTTTCTCTTGGACATGGGTGTCGATGTAAATGCGAGATGTGGAAAATATGGCACAGCTTTACAAGCCGCGGTCATTTGCAAACCAGAACTGGCGGAAATACTGCTGAAATGGAAGTCGGATGTAAACATACCTGGGACAGAGTATGGAAATCCATTATATGCTGCCGTGTCTCTTAGAAGGAACGATCTCATCTTGAGCTTTCTAGAAAGGGGAGCCAATGTCAATATGAAAGTCGAAAGGCATCTCAGTACCTTGTTTTCAAAGGTTCTCCAGCAGGCAGCAAAAAAGGGTGATACCAAAGTGGTAAAGCAACTTCTCGCATACGGAGCAGAAGTTGACGCGGTTGATGGAACATATGGTACAGCTCTCAAGATTGCTTCCACGTCTGGACTTAAGGCGGTAGCCGAGATGCTCTTGGATAGCGGAGCAGATGTAAACTTAACCGGGCCTCTTCGTGCAGCAGCTATGGGCGGACATCGAGAGGTTGTGGAACTTCTCATCAACAGAGGGGCGGATTCCGATCCGAATGATGATATCTCTACAATCATCTCAAAAGCTCGCGGTGGGCAAAGAAAGGCACCAGACCATTATTGACAGTTTCTATAGCCGAAACCGAATTGGAAAAAATTCCAAACTTTTGGGACATGAAAAACGGCATGTTCTCCAGACATGACCAAAAAAAGAACGATCGTTCATTGCAAGGCGTGACACAGAGAGATTTTGGTGAAGCGAAAAAGCGATAAGGTTGGAGAGTCCTGAATAATGACCCATATCGCCATCCACCCTAGCAGTTTACCTCGGACGCGTGTCAAAAATTGTCCGGCATAAAGACTTGCTGTGCCAGAAGACGAGAATTCGGGGAAGGTTTAAATAAAGAACCGGAAGATACTGTACCCCGCAGTTGAGGTAAACGTGAGATCAAGTAGGCTGATCTTTTTTCCTCCTTGATCCCCCGCCAAATGATCATTGTGAGATGGACCTGAATGTCCTATATCTGGCAATTGTACTTGGCCGCAGTTCTGCTCAGCCTCATACCGTGAACGTCAGCAGAGTCCACGCAACCACCAAACCCCTGAACCGACTTGGCTTTGAGACACGAGCGGTGTCGACAAAGTATGGCGTAGCTGGCAAGTCCTGGAAGACCGATCTAAGGAAGCGTATCAACTCCATGGAAGGCATATCGCTCCATGCTCATAGTAAGTGATCGGGTAGGTGCATCCATGGGGCGAGAAACTGCCTATTTAGTCAGTAGAGTCGGTTGTGTATGGAAATCACAAGATCGTACACTCTACTGTAGCGTATAGTCTCAGCGTTCGCTGTTCCTCAAGTCTCATTGGGCTTCTGGCTGTCAGAATGTTTGAACAAACAAATGCCCTGGTTCATGGATCTCAACGGAACGCTGCCACGCCGTCAACTCCATATGCATCGTAGTACAGACGATGGCGTACAGATGGATTGGGATGGATGGGGTGGTGATCATTGGAGACGGTGTGGTGTGGTGAGATCCCAAAATACCTCGTCCTAGGCGAGCAGTGCCCAGGAGGGTGTTTCTGGTCCAGGGTGTTCGTTCTCAGGAAGCGCTCTAGCCCTATTACTTCTTAATTAGCGTTGTACTCAGACACCGCACTTCGTACAGTGCTATTCCCATCGACGAATCAGCCCCTGAATTGGGTGGTGATGATGCATGTTTGCTACGTACCGTTTGGGAACCGTTTGGAGGCAAAGTGCAGTGGAAGGCCCTTCGTAGAAGCGCCAAGGGACGCATGCTGAGCTTCGCTCGGACACCAGACTCGCCGTTGCCCACGCCCACGCCTTGCACGACCATCTTCCTCAGGGTTAGCCCCTGACCCGTTACCTCGCACTACTGTAGATTGCTGCAGCTGGGAGGCCCTGCCCGTACCCGCTGGTCGAGCACCCACCCGCCCATAGCCAATAGTACTTCGAAGTAGTAGCGAGGAATCTCCTGCTAATTGCTCAGCCTGGGCGCAGCTCCAGCTCCCTCTTCCTCTCTCACCACCACTGTACTCGTAACTCACCTCTTCCTTCCTCACCATTTAATTCTTTCCCTCTTTCTCTTTACTCTTTTCATTATCTATAGTGTGTTTCTGACAAGCCATCACCTTCAAAACATCTCCCTCGTGTGATCACCAACATCGGGAATTCTGCGTTTAGGGGCTAGCCGGTTTTCGTTGACAGGCCAAGATGAGCGTATGTGCGACCGTTTCAACTTCCCCTTCCCTCCCAATTCTCTCTCTCTTCGCACAAAAGCCTGCGCCTCGAGATTCCAACAGAAACACCATCCTTATCCCATCACAAGAAGCAGTTTCTCTGGTAGAACTTTGCTAACAATCATGTCACAGTACGCTAATAAGTCAGTCTCTCTCCTGCTCGGTGCAAAATCCGCGCTGCAATCGAATCCTCCCACTGCCCGACGAGCGATGAAAGGTCAATGCTAACATGATGGGGAAATAGTTATGGTGCGCGAGGTGCAAACCCATTCGACCAGAGAGAGGCTCAGTCTCCGGGATACCAAAATGGTCAATATGGGCAATATAACGCTCCAACAATGGGACGGGATGACTATGGGGGTGAGTAGTCGGAATTTGCTCCTCACAGGATGGGAATTGATGATTTCATGCAGGTCAGAATGTGGAAATGGCACCCCTCGCACAGAACGGAGCTCAGGCTGGACAAGGTGGTCAGAGACAGGCCTTGGAAAAGTGTACCGCCATCAACGACGAGATTGATTATCTCGAGAAGACAGAATTACCGGCCCTGAGAATGATCCAGCAATCATCTCTGACCAGTGCTGATCCCGCTTCCACAAGCAGCGCTCTGGACGAGAAATCCGCAAGCATCATGGCCCGATATCGCGAGTTGGTGAACGAGGTTCGAATGCTCAAATCCAGCCCACAATCAGCCGAACTCCGACCAGTTGGTCAAGTGGATCGTAGACTGAAGGCTGCTATCCAACAATACCAATCTATTGACAATGATTTCTCCAAAAAGTCCAAGGATCAGATGGCTCGTCAATTTAGAATTGTGCGCCCTGATGCATCAGAAGCAGAAGTTCGTGAGGCAGTAGAGGATCCAAATGGCGGACAGGTCTTTTCCCAGGCAATGATGCAGAGTAACCGACAAGGTCAAGCTCAATCCACACTGAACGCAGTCAAGAGCCGACACGAGGAAATCCAGAAGATCGAGCAACAGATGATTCAATTGGCTGAATTGTTCCAAGATATGGATGTTTTGGTTCAGCAACAAGAGGCCGCCGTTGTCAACATCGAGATGAAAGGTGAGGAAGTCGTTGACAATATGGATAAGGGTAACCAGGAAGTCGGAGTTGCGATCCAGAGCGCAAAGAACGCACGAAAATGGAAGTGGTGGTGTCTCGGTATATGTGGTATGTTTTGGACTTGGAAAGTCTTTGTTGAAATTTCGCTAATGTTGCTATTTCTCAGTATTGATCGTTATTGTCATTGCTGTCGCCATTGTTGCAAAGGTTGCCGCCGATGGAGGATTCAACAAAAGCCCTGCTCCAGCCGCGACTCCAGCAGCAGCCAAAAGATGGGAACTTCCTGTAAACCACCGCGTCGTCTCTAAATACTCAGGAAACGGTAAGAGAGAGCCAATGGTTGTGTCAGACGACTGGCAACCAACACCAAATGAAAAGCGAATCGTTGTATCAGACGACTGGACTCCAACACCAAATGAAAAACGAGAGGTTGTATCAGACGATTGGTCTCCAACACCAAACGAAAAGCGAATGGTCGTCTCGGATGACTGGCAGCCAACAAACGAAAGAAGAGAGGTTGTATCAGACGACTGGTCTCCATCAACAATAACTAAGAGATCCCGCAGTTTCCAGGCATAGGAAATTTTGCGTGTATAAGATTGCCTTTTGTCTTTTTTTCCTTTCCAACTCTATGGGCGCATATATCTCAGCCTCCGTTTTTCAGGATTGATGGGGTTAGGTGTTTTTGAAACTGCATATACGTTTTTTCCTTGTGTTTTTTCTTGTTGTTCCTCGCTTCGCATGGCGCATATCATAGGCGTTTTTTTTTTTTCCTTCCTCCCTGTTACTTGCCCTCTGTGTATTGTCCGGCATGCTGCTGCCCTATTTCGTTTTATCTTGTCTTGTTGTGGACGGTATCAGGTCCCCAATGAGGGATTTCTCTGTCGGGATTCCCTCGTACTCCGGGTTTTTTTGGGAGTTTGTAAAATATCATTCACTCGCTCGCTCGATATTTGGTGCGAGTGTGTGGGTCTGTAGGGCATCTGTTCATCTGGATGGGAGATGCGTGGGAGATTGAGGGGGACTTAAAAGTTGTTGTGTTGGGTGGGTGGCTTTTGTTTGTATTTATGTATTGTGTGAAGGAGGAGAGGGATATGTTGATAGATGCATGGATGGATGGATTGGGATCCCTTATTAGGTGAGGGAGAAGAGGGAGGGGTTTCTTCGGATAGAGAGAGATAGTGTAGTTTAATTGATAGTTCGATATTTTTTCCTGATTCTCGATCCGTGGTGGTTTGATGGTGGTTTGTGAGGTGTGAGTGACACTGTGAGGGGAGGAGGACGTGAGGTGTGATGTTTGGGATGTGAGGTGAGTGAGCGAGTAAGAAGCTGTAGGTGAGTAATAAGTGAGTAACTGAGCTTTGAAATATGTGAGCGTTGAAATAAGTGAGTGTTGAAATAAGTAAGAGTTGACTTCTCATCGTTCAGGTCATGAGGAGGAGTTGAGTCAAGTAACTTGAGTAAATGTTCTGTTCTGCTCTATTCAGCCCAAGCAAGCTGGCTGCTTGTCTTGGAGTATCAGCATGCATCGAGGTCTGAAGGGAAAATGCAAAAAAAAGGTAAGTTTTGGATTGTATCCGAGTAAGAGTTTCCATCCGTTTTTCCGTTATAAGAATGTTAAGTCGTGTTCTTTGATTCTTTGATTCTTTGATCTTTTGATTCTTTTATTCTTTTATCTTAGTTTTGTTAGAGGGGAGGTATGTTGGTGGGGAGTTGGAGTGTTGAAGTGTTGGATTGAGAGAGTGGGGAAAGGGGAGGGGGGCGTGATGGGGTGGT